ATGCGCCGATACAAAACGCCGCCACACGTCACTCGCGCGATTCCCCACCCCTCTCTCCCTTACCTTCGTCAGCCGCTGTCGCGCGCTTCAGCCACTTTAGTAGCCGCTTCAAGCTTCTCGTGGCGGCGTTTGTGGCTGTGGCGTGTGGGCCCGTGTGCGGCGACATTTTAATATAAGTCGCGGCACGAAACTCTAGCGCTGACCGTTATTGCGCAGAAGTAAAAATTAAGTGTGTTGGGGGGAAACAGAGGTGCGCGGGTGGGCGTGCGTTGCACCGATTGGCTCTTCAGTCGTACCCATGCGCATCCCTTTTTTTTTTTTTTTTTTTTTTTTTGTATGTCTAGAAAATGCATTACGCATACTTCGCCAACCGAGGGTTGCGGACGAAGCTATCGGGGACTCCTCTCCGCCGCTTCAGGGAACACAAGTGCTCTGAGAAGCAAGCGGGGCCCTACCTCGCCAAGAAGGCGACCGCCACAAGGGCGACCGTAAAAACTAGACAATACTCCTGCACCGGTCACCCGGCGCGCATTATGAGGGACCGCGGTCCCTCCTAGTGCGCACCGGGAGTGCGAGTGATGTGGCGGTATCCGTTTCCGAATAGTCCGCCCACCCGCAAGGTGATTGTCCGCAAGCGGACCCGCCCCGATGAACATGCCCCGGAGTATGAGGGGCATCAAACCCATGCGCATCCCTGACGCGGTTTATTCAGCCTTAAGAGTTACGTGCAGCGACCTGTAGTGTAAGTTTGTTTGTTACTCAATCACGCAAAAACATCTGTTCGGTACTTGGACGAAATTTGGTACGAATATAGTTTATGTGACCTAGATTGAGACATAGTATACTTTTTAAACCGGAAAAGCAGGTTCCTGTGGGATTCTCAAAAATAGCTAAAGTTAACGCGGACGCAGTCGCGTGCAGCCACTAGTTACCTCTATAAATTCTACAGACCCTTGGTCTGGTGCATTTTATGCTAAGTTACACTTTTATGTATTCAATTGTGTTACTCTTTATTCCCTACTCGAGAACAGCAAACATAGACTATGTGTGTCAGGCCAGGGTGGAATTCTGGAAAAGTGGGAGACAAGTATTTGGCAAGTCACCACTGAAAAAGCTTGACATATAAACCGGTAAACAACACTATTTGCAGGCTATCATTATCAGCTTCCCCACTCCTAGGGCACAGGCCTTCCCTATGGCAAAGGGACAATGGGCCATGAGTACTATGCGGGCTCAGAGCAGATTGGTGGATGCTGACGACTGGTAATACAGCCGTTGGTCTCAATGGCTTAGAGTGCCTTCCGGAGTATGAAGGAGACCATAACGTGAAACGTAACGTACGGCCGGTGCCGTTTCACGTTACGGTGTCGCGCCATTTTACGTTGCTACGCCGCGCCGGAGGAGCTCGATGGCGCAAGTGGTTAGCGCGTTCCGCTGCGATCGTTGAAGTTAAGCAACTTTCGCAGTGGTCTGTCATTGGATGGGTGACCAAAAACATCGATCTCGAGTTCCTCCGTGCTTCGGAAGGCACGTTAAGCCGTTGGTCCCGGCTGCATCTGCATTCGTTAGCACCCGCCAATCCGCACTGGGCCCGCGTGGTGGGTCATGGCCCAATCTCCCTATTCCATCCATAGGGAAGGCCTGTGCCCCAGCAGTGGGGACATTAATAGGCTGATGGTGATGACGCCGCGCTGTGCCCAACTAGCACACAAGCTGATTAGACAGGTCTTGTTCAGCTGAGCTGTCGGTATAACAAGCATTTAATGGCTCTTGTATTCTTTTCAATTGGTATAACAGAGTGTGAGGAGCTCGATGGCGCAGGTGGTTAGCGCGTTCGGCTGCGATCGTTGAAGTTAAGCAACTTTCGCAGTGGTCTGTCATTGGATGGGTGACCAAAAATCTTCTATCTCGGGCACGTTAACTTGCCTTCCGAAGCACGGAGGAGGCTTGAGATTGTAAATTTTTGGTCACCCATCCGATGACCCACTGCTAAAATTGCTTAACTTCAACGATCGCAGCCGAACGCGCTAACCACTTGCGCCATGGAACTCCTCTTATACCTGCAACTACTTGACATGCGATGTATCATTAGATTTTTTCACATTTCCTTTGATCAGGAATTTGATCTAAAATAAAAATGATAGAATCTGTTGTACCTCTATTTCGACGACCTCCGTGGTCGAGTGGTTTGTACGCCGGTTTTCATGGTGTCGCCGACTCGAGAGGTCCCGGGTTCGAATCCCGGTGGGGGCAGATGTTTGTGTGATGAATACGAGCATTTGTACTCCAGTCATGGATGTTTAATATGTATTTCTATATAAATATACTTATATATGTACTGTATATGTATTCTGTCCGTTACCCTAGCATCCCATAACACAAGCCTTACAGTGCTTACTTTGGGGCTAGGCTAATTGGTGTGAGTGTCGGAAATATTTATTTTATTTTATTTATATTAGATCTAGAAGCTGACTTGTTAAAGTAGATGGTCTTAACCGGAGTTAAAAACTTCTCTTGTTACACTTTAAAAGTTTATGTAAGTCAATTCAGACCTTTATACTCTACAGTACCACTGGTAACCGGCCTTCATAACACCAAGTCCTACTGTACCACACTATACCTGTTCCATGTCACTAAAAGTGGTACACTCTTAAATTTCCTTATTTTTTTTTATATATAGCTAGGTAGGCAAATGACTACCCCACCTAATGTTAACTGGTGATAAAGTCCAAACGCGAAGACAGCTGGTACGGCAGTTATAAACTGCCACACCAACCATCCTCCTTGCAGGCCTGCAAAAATGCTTCTTCACGCCTCTCTTTAAGGACCCCAGATTTTACAACTAAAAACTGATGTAGAGCTTTATACTTTTTTATACTGATATAAGAATTGTAATATACACAATGAATTTCTTTATATAATTATAAACCTTCCATGAACAATTATTTCACTGATAGTGCAAAATTTTGTTGCGTAATTTAGGACCTCGTTGTACCGAATGCACCATGTTTTGGCTGAACGCGAAATAACAGAAAGTAATGGTCCGATTTGAAGAAAAAATGTATTGGATAGTACATTTATCGAGGAAGGCTTGAAGCTATATAATAATAATAAATTTATTGCTCAACAAAAGTAGATACATGAAAGATTGAATACCCTGTTTTCTATGCCAGGATTACCCTGTGTTACAGAAAACTGTGTCTTCTCCCAAAGACATTTTAAATATAATATGTATCACGCTGCGATTCCCTGACCAAGTGTAGGAAAGTCAGCGTCCTTTCTGGTGCATTCGCACTAACTTGAGTGCACTTGAACTCGCAGCAGACCTCACGAAGCTTGTGCTTACGCAGCTCAGAACGCAGCGCCACAGTATTTGATCTACACACAGACGCAACGATGCCCGCGACCTTATGATGCCCTATCGACACTTAATAATAATTATAGACGTCCGTAGTACCGTAATATTTATTATTTTATGTATAAGTACCTACGTAGGTTCAGTTAATTCATCATTATTACGATATACTCGTACGATATATGTGCGTAGGAGTTAGGAAAAACAATCGCAGTTAGATGGATATAACGCCATCCTATAAGATCGTTACTTTTAATGGCTGTCAATTAAGTTTTAGATTACAAATTACCATTAGACTTGTATATTGGGTTACGTTATTTCTTTGCATAGTGATAATGTCCTTAATAAAGGCCTGTGCCAGCAATGTGGATAACAGAGGTGCGACGAAGTGGTAGTTGTCTGTAAAATTGGTAAGAATAATTAGTCGCCAACTGATGTTGAGAGTGAGATCAGAGTTCGAAACACGCATAGGTAAATCTAAAGAAAAGTTTTAATAGAAACAAATAGAAAAAAAATCCACGCGGACCAGGCAGCAGACGGGACTCGAACCAGCACCCTTCGCAATCCGGACGAATGCACTGACCAATTATGCTACCGCGTCGAAATTTTCCTATCCTTAAACTGCAAGGCAGCGCCATCTCTTCGCATTTTAGGTAACCCACACTGTCAGACAAATACTTTTTCAAGTAGTAAACATTTGAAAGAAGAAATAGCATTTATAGTTATGTGTTATGTTAAACATCTAGCAGTTAAATGCTTAAAAAAACGCATAGGTAAGTTCACACCGGCCCACCGGGGCCTCACATGGAGTACTGTTCTCATCTTTGGGAGTGCACTGGAGTGCCCCCGACTCCAGTACCAGCACTCCTGGATCGTATCCAGCGCCGGCCTAGCGGCTCGAATCGTCAACGAAAGAACTACTCCGATAAGCTTGATCCTTTGCTTTGCGTAGGTATGTAGAACTTCACTCTGCATCTTCTATCGCATTTATAATGAGTTCCGAGAAATTGTTTCCGCCAAAAATTCATCCCCATCATCTTGGTGCGTTGACTTTACAACCGTACGTTATTGTAAAATGTTTTATCACCTCCAAAATATTGTCAACCAGCAGTACTTTCGGTACAATATTACCCTGAAACCTTCAAAAACTATTTGATTATCTCTAGAAAGTCACTAGATTTCATCAGTTTTCCTAGTTCCTACACTCGAAAAAGTTTGTAGTTTGTAACAATAATAATCAGTAATTACCGATTCATTACTGAGCAAGGTATTAATATCCCCACTGCTGGGCCACAATCTGTGTTTTGTGTGCGTTTTATGGGCGGGATCGGGAAGACGGGCTATATTCCAACATAGATCCCGTGAGGGTTAGTGGGTGTTAACGGCTGCAAATGCAACTGGGACCAACGGGTCAACGTTTCGATGCACGAAGAAGCTCTAGATAATAAATTATAGAGACCGATTCTTGACCGACCATTTCGAAATTTGCTTTGAATTTCGATCGCAGACCTGACACTGTGCTATCAAGCTCTTCAATTCTCATTTTATGCAAATATGTCATCAATCTCTGAACGTAAGGACACCGCAGGATAATTGTTTTTTTGCTGAAAAAACAGCTTAGAATTAAAAGCAAAGTAATTAATATAAATTATTTTAATGCAGTCATACTAAAGTAGCAGTTACAAGTTGGCACAAGTCACAAATTGGTACTACACATTAGTTAAAGCATAAAATTAATATTATTTTTCAAATAAACCTGTCCAATAAAACCACGATTTGAATAAATTATAAGATTGTTATATTTACAAAGTTTAGATTCGAGCGACAAATGACATGTTGTTGTCACAGACAAAACAATTTAAATGGGTACGTTATTTTACCGTCAGAAAAGCACTAAAAGATTACAGGAATAGTTTATAAAAGTTCAAAGGATTAACAGGCGCATCTATCCCCTTTCATAAGTAAATCTTTAACGATGCCATCATTTCCTGACTGTGGTACCGGTGATATTTCTGTTTCAAAGATTGGACATACTTGAAAATTACTCATAATTTTATTAGTCACTATAAAAATTTAAAAGAGCATAGCAAACATTTGACATCTAATTTTTACAATGAATATCGTGCCTTGTAAATATTTCTATTTAGGAATATATTTAAAAGATATTCCTTTTTGAAGCGACAATACGAGATTATGAGATTTTCATAGATGTGAAATATATGTAGGTACGTTAATAAAATTTTGTCATGACGTTCTATGTATACATTAATAAGAAGATGTTATAGGCATAGGCATCAAAGAGGATAAGGCAAAAACAACAGTTAATGGTGAGATGACAGCTGAACACGAATTATGGATCAGGCAAATTTAGGATAAAAATCTTTAGTACATTCTTCCATCGATGGTTACAAACACACGATTCAAAATGGATCCATATTTGAAATTAAAACATCGAAAAAAGTTATTCTTCGATAGGAAATCGTGGTGTTCGAGTCAAGAGATAGTAAGACTAAGTTTAAATTGATTCTGTTAACGATTTCTTTTGTAGTTGTTTCGTCACCTGTGCTCCTTGGGTGGCCCGCACAACAACAGCTGGTCATACTTTTTCATCTGTCTCGTTGCCACTTCTACGTCGACATCAGTCAGATAGAAAGCCTCAAAGTTACTCAGCGGTCGTAGCATGGAATACAAACGCTCCGCGTATTTTCTACAAGAAACAAGAGACAATGAGACGGTTCTAGAGTTACTTACAAAGTTTACCATCCAGATGCCCAAACACGAAATTTGACAGATCCGTACTTAATCGTGTCGTCATCGTAAAATTTTGTATGGAAGGAGCTAGTTTGTTATTACGTCAGGTATTTGTCATCATCATGTCATCATCAGTCTCTTAATGTCCCCACTGCTGGGGCACAGGCCAGACTGATGTTAAATTTAGTTTTAAGTTTAGAGAATCACGCCAGAATCGACGCCATAATGTAAATTCTGGTGCTCATGCTACAGGGACTGATATGAGTGATAGAGCGATAAGGGCCGGTAAAATTATAGCCCTACTTGAAGGTTTTTCATGAAATAGGATATCTGACAAGTTTTAGAAAACGATCTCACGTTATTGACTAATGTTTATGGAGTCCGTAAAAAGTGGATATCCATCATTCTGTTGTGTATTTCAGTAAAAATAACTAAATCAAAAACTCCATTTTCAAGTTGCCGCGAAAACTTTTCTGGACAATATGGCGTCACAGTAGTGTGTGACGTCACACACCTTTTATTAAAATGTCAAACGATACAATGTAATGCCACTTTAACCGGAAGTTTACTTGCGTGTGACGTCATTTTAGGCTCCGCCAATCCCAAGCCTTTTGGGTCACGTGACAATAGATAAGAAAACTATTATCTTTTTCGTGGGTTTTTAGTAAAATTATGAATATTTATTTTGTAAAAATAGTAAAAACCCCTGCCAATATTTATTCTAAACACAGATGCTAACAATTGGTACTTTATTTTTAATACTGTCAAATACCCTATTACGAGCCTCAGCGGCTAAAGTGAGTCAACTTTCTGGAGGACTTGGCAACATCTATCTGGAGGTAAAGGCAACGTATGAAGAGGCCGGTTCAGTCAAAAGAAGACCTGGTTCGGAAAGAAAACGATGCAAAGAACCAGGAGATGACCGCTTTCTGATGAGTCAGGCGTTGCGAAATCGTAAGGCGTCACCTGTGGACCCGAAGAAGAGCCGTGATGAAGTAGGGAGTACAAGTTAGCTTGTGGAAGGTCAGGAGGAGGCTTTTGGTTGCCAATATCAGGAGTTACCGCCTGGCCCAGGGCCCTTAATTTCTCCGTGAGCACCGTGTTGCTCGACTTTAGTTTACTCAAAACTGTTTTTCATGGATTGTAGAAGACTGGTAAAAAATATTGTTTTCTGATGAAGCTAGAATCTCTTTGTATGGAGAGGACCAACCCCGGCGAGTGCTGCACACATAGTTCGCATTGACTGCACTTGAGGAAGATTCCATTTAGATTCACCATTGTTAGTCTGCCTATTATAAAAACGGGGTCATCTAACTTAGTATTGATAAATCGGGAATCGTGATTTCTGATATCAATGTCCTCGTAGGAATAATGTAGGTATCACTTGTATACCATTCACCAGACATTACTTGTGGCCATTACTTAATTAGCACGCTTATCTACAGGTTCACTAATTAGTCAAGTCTCTGATATATAGTAATGAAAGGTAGGGTGATGTCATACTTTCAGATATAATTACTACGAAAAGCTATTTATACCTACTTACATAAATTATTGTTTTAATTAAACAATTAATTTTGTTTACTATCATCAGGATAACGGTGAGACATAATGAGAGTAAAAGTTTTCTGGTTACCTACTTTGTCTATAAATATACACTATGTGTGGTGGTTAGTAAACAAGGGTGTTATCTTGTATTATTTAAGTATTAAGATGGCCGCACCCACCAACTTTCTGAGATCAAAGGGCAATGCCCAAAATAGGCTCCGTGTGGACAAGGTGCTTGGAAAACACCAATTTTACAATATTTTTTATTTAATTTTAACCAATTTGTATAACCGTTACATAGTGGAAAGTTTTATTAGTATTACAATAAAAATATATGAAAATAATACGATCACTTCCTAGATCTAATGTCACTACTATAATGGCTGTAATTGGTAGAATTTTAGTAAGCATCACGTCATTTCAGCGAAAACGGCTAGGATTGGCCGGGTCTAAAATGACATTTGCGGACAAGGGCTGTGTTCTAAACCTACGATCTAGGTGCAACAAATGTCAAATTCGATAGAAATTTCATACATTTATGTAAAAATTTTAATGTCACAGTTAAAAGTTGCACTTGGAGCGTAAATTTGGAACGGTCCCAAGCTGTCAAAAGAACACTGTAATTTTTTAATCGACTTCAAAAAAAGGAGTAGGCTCTGTGTGTGTGTGTTCGACTGTATATTTTTTGTATGAATTTTCACCGATTTCTCCGTCAATTGTGCACCGATTTCCAAAATCCTTTTTTTTTTATTCGAAAAAGTGCACTTCCGATGTGGTCCCATTGGAACCAAGTCAGGATCTGATGGTGGAATCCGGGGAAATCTAGGGAAACCTTCAAATTTCAAAGGTCCGCACGATGTTTTTTTATGCATGTTCATCGATTTTTCCGTCAATTGTGGACCGATTTCCTAAATTCTTTCTTTTGTTTATAGTTTACTTGGATGATGTAATTTTCACTAAAATGGATGAAGTATTTTTTTTAAACAAATGTAAAACCACCTTAAAAATTGAAAATGGAACTAAAAAGTATAAAATAATATCTGGTTCATGATTTCAAAATCGGGCGGCGTCAAGATTGTGATGAATTTAATGTTTCAAACATTAAATAGATTTTCATTTCTGATCGGTATTACGTCTTTCACACCGGGCGGGTCAAGAGTGAAAGACGTATTAGACTTCCAAATCATGAACCAGATATTATTTTTTTACATTTTAGTTCCATTTTCGATTTTGAAGTCAGTTTTCTTTTTTACTAAAAAAAAAAATTAGTTCAGACCTTTGGCATCATGCATGTGACATCGCTGGCAATATTGCGCATTATTAATTTTTCGCGGCATATTTAAAGAATAGATGTTTATTTTCGATTTTATTTATTTGTGTAACAGAAAATGCATGTACCCAGTGTCTAGACACCGTATTGGTAATATAATGACTTCGATTATTATATATGGTTGCGAAAATTATTTATTATATTACTGCTTACTTATATATGCTTATATTACCTTTTTTCATCGCGGAGCAAATTTTTTTTAATTGTAATAATTCAAAGGTTCTTGGTAGCTTTAGCTTAAGGTAGTTTAAGCTACTTGCATTGTTGGTTTTACTTGTTAAAATGTCTGTTCACGTTAAGCCAAATTCTCATACAAAGTGGGCATTGCCCTTTGAACTAGATTCAGTTTATATTGTTACCGCACCTGTGACTATTTAGAGTCTAAAAGAGATATAATGTGATTTTAAAACGATTTTAGTTTTATGAACGGTAGTATGTACCTACAAGTGGCGCTTAGTGGTTTGTCTCTGTTCAATTAATTCCAAATGCATTTAAGTATTAAATAAAAGAAAACGACGAGCGAACACTAAAGCAAACAATGCTGCGTGTCTGTTTCGAGGTTTTAATCTTCGTATATTCAATGAGTTTTTTTTTAAACTGAACATAATCACGTCATTCAACCATACGACGCTGGCCACTGCTGAGTACATGCCTCCTCCAAAAATCTAAACGCTGATTGACTCTGGAGGCCCAGAAAAGGCCAGCTTTCTATTGGAACGCAATTATATACCTTGTTGTTAACTTTATGTTCAATAATTTATTGTACGGAAAACAAGCGCTCGCTGCCTTAATTTTGTGAGGGAGTCACGAAACTATAGATGTAAGGCCGGTTTAAAACCAATTAAACCAATCCGTTTAAAACCGAAATAAACCATTTTTTTCGATTTAAAACGGTTGGTGTTGATGATGTCAACACCAAAAAAAATGAAAAAAATGTTGGTATTGTGTTAATGATGTCTTATTTTAATCTAGTGTGTGTTATATAATATATGTATAATAAATAAGTGCTTAAGTATGAAGGTACCTACATACATACTTAAGTTTTCGTGGTACCTAGGTCATGTACGTAGGTACTTTCTATAAATTTTCTTTATTCCTACTTATTAAAACGAAACATGACGTCAGGTGACCAAAAATGGACCATAATGAAGAGTTAAAAAACATAGTTCTTTTATTTTTGTATGCCAGTTTCCAACCGTTTAAAACGATTTATTTGGGGTTTAAAACGGCAACATTTAGTTTAAAACGTTTTAAATCGGTTGTTTTACATCTATAGGTGACAATTTGCTCCACAGAATTGGTAAATTTTTGCTCTCTGATATCATCGTCGTGAAAACTTTAGTGAATGCATCGCCGCTAGGGGCAGAAGATTTTTTAATGTTCTATGTGACCCCATAACTACATGCTTGTGCCTTGTGCGATACATGGTTGCTCTTTCATGGTCAGGGCTCTAAGGACGAGTTAATTAATACCCAAAGCACCATTTTATCACGGCACCACCCGTTACCCGAGTCGAATTTACCTATTTTACCAGGAAACTGAAGTCTACAACTGTTCGTTTCTAGAGGTCCTTCTTGGTTATGCAGGCCGAAGCAGCGGGAGATACGCGCGGAATGGCCTCCAACGCGCGTACTTTCTTGACTCCCTACAAATTATTCTTTATCTATCTCCTTGTGCCTATGGTCCCTCTCCCCTTTCTGCGGCGGACGCACACGAAATGCCTTCGTCGCAATCCCACCCGTCCCGTTCCCAGTCTGAAGTGGTACCGCTGGCTCCAAATCTTTCTTTCACGAACAATAAAGTTATGGAATGAACTCCGCTCCGTGGTGCTCTCTGGAGTGCTTTAACATGGTTCTTAAACGAGACTTTAAATCAGTGTGCTATGAAAGGCAGTGGCATTGCTGTGTAACTGGCATTGTTGATGCTCATGGGCGACGGTGGCTTCTTATTATTAAATGCCCATTCGCTCGTCTGCCTTCAAAAAATATATAAATTACAAGTTCCTTCGCTGAGAAATGGCCACTTGGCGACTCGTCTACAATTTGTGTGTTGTCCGCATCCAGCGGCTTCACAAAACCTTTAATAGATCGTTGGTCTATCTAGTGTGGACTGCCCACTGAGCGTCATCCGGTGCGTGGTCGCCACTCGAGAACCTTTCGGCCCCAATGGCCCTCGGTTCTCAGCTGGGTAACGTGTCCCACCCGGTCTTATTTAAATAAAGGTTCAGATGATGAAATAACATAATGTATGTTTCATCATAAAACAATATCCTGGTAGACGTATGTTATAATTTAAGATAAACTACAATTAGTCACAAGCATCAATCCTCATAACTGTTTTTGCATTATTTGATGTAAGTAATTGTTTATCTTATTCAGTGCCATTTGTTGACAACGAATATTGAAAAATAATTGTGTGTATATATTTGTAGTAAATGCTTGAACTCTAGTCTTCTTTTTTTGATGGATACACTTATTTTGTTTACGCGTTCAATGTATAGCAATAACCAGGACCAAACTACCAAACTGGAACTTCAATGGTTTTTATGGCAGTTTTAAAAAAGGCGGCTTAGACTTGCCTTTTCCTTCAGTACGCACGTGGTACCGAGGTTTGTTCTGCAAATGTCCACGGGCGCCATTATCTACTTGCGAGTGCCATTCTACTTAATGGTTACTATGAAGTTAGCGCAAGTCGAAGCGCAGTAAACGAAATGTAGGATGATGTAGGCGCGCGCGGGATATCACTGAATCGAAACCCGCGAATTTACACGCGCTATTAAGTTTGAATCGCGCTATAGTAGTTCTCTAACACTTATCTGTCCAGTTTCACTTTGCAGTTGGTCAGGAAACTATCAGTCCCTTCTTCATGTCTATTATTCAAAGCCAAATGTGAAAACGATGCATTAAGCGGCATCAACTACCTAGAGTCAACGTCATCTCGTAGCTCTTTTACCTGGGTAAAGTTTAGAATATTAACCGGGTATCAGTGTTCCTGTCTTCCACCCCCACGACGACGGCTAACTAAAGCCAAGGTCCGAGTCTCAGAGACGCTCTCTAGTTGAGCCGACCCCCTTAGGTTCGAGTGGTCTAGAGGCTCCAGACGGAGAGGAGACTGCCCCCCTGGGGAGACGCCATCCGCCTGGAAGACCTCTAGAGGCACTCGCCAATTCTCGGCTTGAAGTCCCCTAGGATCTCGCCGTCCCCAAAACCGGTAACACTGAAAGGTCATCTGCGACCAACAGCATACACACTAAAAAAAAAATACCTGTCCCCGGAAACGCTGCCAACGAACGCAGCGCATGTCGTCGCGCGCACACAGCGCTAGGCGGTCGCGTGCGCAGCAGCTCGCGTATGTACCTTCGATAGAGGTAGTGTCCGCGGTTTCTCTATTTTCTAACAATGTTTACCTGGTATCAGTGTTTCTGTCCTCTAGTAGCGCCGCCAGCGAACGCAGCGCATGTCGCCGAGCGCACACAGCGCTAGGTGGCCGCGTGCGCAGAAGTTCGCGCCCGCCTCCCGCTAGAGCGCAAGACACTACCAGCAGGCGGGCTGCAGCGCAGCGGACTAGCGGGTTCTTGTGCCTGGCGGAAACAAATTCCTAATTAAGGTGGAAGAGTAGGCGGAAGCGGATAGATAGACGATGGTGTCGATATTGGCATGATTCTCTAAACCTAAACTTAAATTTGACAACAGTGTATCCTTGTGATACTCTATACAGAATAAAAAGGAAAGAGTGATGTTAAATTTAGTTTTAAGTTTAGAGAATCATGCCAGAATCTACACCAATATAGACATAGAGAATGGACACTGAAATACCCGTATGAAATTGACCACGGTCTAGAAAAAGAGAAAGTTATTGTGCGGCCAAAATTCGTTAGACTTTGTTACAAATTTATGTCCGTATTTACTTTACTACTAGGAGGAACGCTTCGTCCATTCTCTATGTATGTATGGAATGATGTAAGCTGGTGGACGGATAATCGTAAGCGAGTAGAGGGATAAATGTAAGCTGGTGGGTACAGAGATGTAAGCGAGTGGATGGATAAACATAAGCGGATGGACGACTCAACGTAAGCGGATGGAAGACTTAATGTAAGCGGGTAAACAATTACACATAAGCGAGTGACCGTATAGAAGTAAGCTGGTGGATAGATGTAAGCGTGTGGACAGATACATGTAAGCGGGTTGACGGATACGCGTAACGAGACTAGTTCGTCCCGAAGGCCAGCTAAAGAAAGCTGTTGACGATGGATACCAATCACCCGTACCCAGTGCCGTGTACGCAGAGTGCCGTGACGGCGTGCGGCAACTCGACGCCGCTCACGACCGCGTCCAGTGCCACGTTGGCTGCGCGCCGCACCGGCCGGCAGTAGCTGCCCGTCTTCACCAGCAAACTGGTTACCGCCTCGAAGAAGTCCTACGTTCAGTCAAACACAAACGATTACCGCATGAGCGCCGACTGATAGCCAGCTGCTTATTGATCATTGTGTTCTAAAAGTTAACTTTATTTGTAAAAGCCAACGCGACTGTGTCCAGATTTACTTTGGCCACGCGCGTCTCCGGCGATCTGTAGGTTCCCGTCATCATCAACAAGCGTCACCGCCTCATAGAAGTCCTACCTGCCATTAGCGGTCAAGCTGTATCTGTTTAGACTTTATGAAAACAAAGAAATTATTGATGATGAGCATTTTACCGGTTTTTTGGTGTAGTTTGTGTGTTTCAATATGGCCGCGAGAGTGTCGCAGGCGTGCCTCGCTACTTGAGTCCGGGGGGAATCCACATGGTAGCTTACCTACAAAAAGTAAAAGGAAATACACTTTAAAATCTACTTACTATTATATTACGTCAGAGGGTGATAGGGTTGCTAACATGCATTCATTGTCAAATGTCTACTGATTTTTAGTTCTCGTTACGCTCGTTTTGGCGACGTATATTAAGCTAGCAGACCATGGTCGCAACGCGCACATCTTACCTACTGGGTATTTAGTTGCTAATTAGTTACACTATTCCCGATTTAGTTGCTCAACACCTGTAAAAGATACATGCGATCTGCTAGCTTAAGTCTTAACCTAGCAGACCACAATACTGTATCTTCGGTTCTCGTAAAGATATCGAAGTTCTGCAAACGGCATATTTAGTTGCTAATTAGTTGCTAATTAGTTACACTATTACCGATTTAGATGCTCAACACCTGTAAAAGATACATGCGATCTGCTAGCTTAAGTCTTAACCTAGCAGACCACAATACTATATCTTCGGTTCTCGTAAAGATATCGAAGTTCTGCAAACGGCATATTTAGTTGCTAATTAGTTGCTGTAGGACAGCATTATTTGTTTTATCCCCCCATCATCCCTTAATTGCCGCACCAGCACCCACACTACCCCCGAAATACGATAAAATTAAAAAGAGCTCATCAGAGAATATAAACTACGGCGTATTTCGTTGCTAATTAGTTGCTGCAAAATAGCGTTGCTTATAGTATTTAACTATCAACCCTTAACTCCAAATCAGCACTGCAACCACCCCCGAATAGGACGATATCGGAAAATTCTCGTAGGTGGAAAAAGACGCGGCATATTTAGTTGCTAATTAGTTGTTTGCCAAAAACGCAGTTAAGAGTATTCTACAATCATCCCCTAACCTCAGATGCAACCCCTCTACTCACTTAGAAACAGTAGATGGTTAAAATTCGCACGCAGTTGTTTAAGACTGCTGGATGTTTTGTTGTTAATTAGTTGCTGAAAAATAACGTTGCTTATAATATTTGATTATCAACCCTTAACTCCAGATCATCCCTGTAACCACCCCAGAATAGAACGATATCGGAAAATTCTCGTAGGTGGTAAATAGACGCGGCATATTTAGTTGCTAATTAGTTGCTCGCCAAAAACGCAGTTAAGAGTATTCTACAATCATCCCCTAACCTCAGATCCAACCCCTCTACTCACTTAGAAACAGTGGATGGTTGGAATTCGCACGCGTATGTTTAAAACTGCTGGATGTTCTGTTGCTAATTAGTTGCTCGCCAAAAACGCAGATAAGAGTATCAACCCTTAACTCCAGATCATCCCTGCAACCACCCCAGAATAGGACGATATCGGAAAAAGTCTCGTAGGTGGAAAATAGACGCGGCATATTTAGTTGCTAATTAGTTGCTCGTCAAAAACGCAGATAAGAGTATTCTACAAACATCCCCTAACCTCAGATGCAACCCCTCTACTCACTTAGAAACAGTAGATGGTTGGAATTCGCACGCGGATGTTTAAAACTGCTGGATGTTCTGTTGCTAATTAGTTGCTCGCCAAAAACGCAGATAAGAGTAGCCTACAATCATCCCCTAACTTCAGATCCACCCCCTCTACTCACTAAAAAATAGTAGATGGTTCGAATTCACACGCAGATGTTTAAAACTGCTGGATATTTTGTTGCTAATTAGTTGCTGCAAAATAGCGTTGCTTATAGTACTATCAACTCTTAACTCCAAATCAGCACTGCAACCACCCCAGAATAGGACGATATCGGAAAATTCTCGTAGGTGGAAAAAAGCGGCGGGATATTTAGTTGCTAATTAGCAATACGATATTCTGCAGTAATATACATCTACGAGCGTATTCTGGCCGATTTTTTATTGTAAAGAGAAAATGATGGTCGATCTGAGGTGAAGAGACGATTGTAGAAAAATATCCCGCATTTTTTGTACCCATAAGGGTGGCAGCTGGGATGATTTGAAGTTAAGGGTTGATAATCAAATATTATAAGCAACGCTATTTTTCAGCAACTAATTAACTACAAAACATCCAGCAGTCTTAAACATCTGCGTGCGAATTTTAACCATCTACTGTTTCTAAGTGAGTAGAGGGGTTGCATCTGAGGTTAGAGGATGATTGTAGAATACTCTTAACTGCGTTTTTGGCGAGCAACTAATTAGCAACTAAATATCCCGCGTCTTTTTTCCACCTACGAGAATTTTCCAATATCGTCCTATTCTGGGGTGGTTGCAGTGCTAATCTGGAGTTAAGGGTTGATAGTTAAATACTATAAGCATCGCTTTTTCGCAGCAAGTAATTAGCAACAAAATATCCAGCAGTTTTAAACATCTGCGTGCGAATTCGAAACATCTACTATTTTTAAGTGAGTAGAGGGGTTGGATCTGAGGTTAGGCGATGATTGTAGAATACTCTTAATTGTGTTTTTGGCGAGCAACTAATTAGCAACAAAATATCCAGCAGTTTTAAACATCTGCGTGCGAATTCGAAACATCTACTATTTTTAAGTGAGTAGAGGGGTTGGATCTGAGGTTAGGCGATGATTGTAGAATACTCTTAACTGCGTTTTTGGCGAGCAACTAATTAGCAACTAAATATGCCGCGTCTATTTTCCACCTACGAGAATTTTCCGATATCGTTCTATTCTGGGGTGGTTGCAGGGATGATCTGGAGTTAAGGGTTGATAATCAAATATTATAAGCAACGTTATTTTTCAGCAACTAATTAACAACAAAACATCCAGCAGTCTTAAACAACTGCGTGCGAATTTTAACCATCTACTGTTTCTAAGTGAGTAGAGGGGTTGCATCTGAGGTTAGGGGATGATTGTAGAATACTCTTAACTGCGTTTTTGGCGAGCAACTAATTAGCAACTAAATATGCCGCGTCTTTTTCCACCTACGAGAATTTTCCGATACCGTCCTATTCGGGGGTGGTTGCAGTGCTGATTTGGAGTTAAGGGTTGATAGTTAAATACTATAAGCAACGCTATTTTGCAGCAACTAATTAGCAACGAAATACGCCGTAGTTTATATTCTCTGATGAGCTCTTTTTAATTTTATCGTATTTCGGGGGTAGTGTGGGTGCTGGTGCGGCAATTAAGGGATGATGGGGGGATAAAACAAATAATGCTGTCCTACAGCAACTAATTAGCAACTAAATATGCCGTTTGCAGAACTTCGATATCTTTACGAGAACCGAAGATATAGTATTGTGGTCTGCTAGGTTAAGACTTAAGCTAGCAGATCGCATGTATCTTTTACAGGTGTTGAGCAACTAAATCGGGAATAGTGTAACTAATTAGCAACTAATTAGTAACTAAATATGCCGTTTGCAGAACTTCGATATCTTTACGAGAACCGAAGATACAGTATTGTGGTCTGCTAGGTTAAGACTTAAGCTAGCAGATCGCATGTATCTTTTACAGGTGTTGAGCAACTAAATCGGGAATAGTGTAACTAATTAGCAACTAATTAGCAACTAAATACCTAGTAGGTTAGATGTGCGCGTTGCGACCATGGTCTGCTAGCTTAATATACGTGTTTTGGCGCTGCTGTTCAAGTTTCTTGACAATATTTGACAATGACATTTCGCACTCGCAAACTATTCGAATTCGATATTGGTTCGTGCTAAGAGTACAAAAATAAAGAATAACGTGTATCAGGATTTTTCGAAAATCTACCCTAAGAGGGTAAAAAATGGGATGAAAGTTTATATGAAATAAAGATATATGTAGTATAATAATTATAATATATATATAAAAGAAGAAACTGACTGACTGACATATCATCGCACAGTTCAAACCGCTAGGTCTAGAGACTCCGGCACGTATCTTCTTTATGAGGTCTAGGGGTGCACTAATAACTGTATATATATAGTAAACTACTAGCTGACTCGGCGAACTTCGTACCGCCCAAAAGTAATAATTTGCAATAAATTAAAATTGCGACTATAATTTGAGATTTAAACTATCCTATCTCTCAAGTTGGATCGAACTGCACATGGTGTGCGAATTTTATTATAATCGGTTCAGTGGTTTAGGAGTCCATTGAGGACAAACATTGTGACACGAGATTTATATATATTAAGATGTCGCTCGTTGACTAGCCCGACCACACCCTCTGCTAAGTGAAGCTCCATTTGACTGAATAGATTAATTATATTAGTACATATATTTTTAAGTTTGTAGCAAAATTCGGAACAACAACATTTTCAAGATTCCCCAAACAGCAATATAGCACGGTAAATTATTGAAGCGACGGACTTTATTTGCGCCGTTTTCGATCGCAGCCTTCTAAGAGCGGCCATACACGGACTGCTGTACATAGAAGACTACGAGTATAGTTCACTATGCAGTAGCTGCCCGTGTGTGGCGGCCCTTAAATGAAATATTTTTCCTCAATCAGACCGTAGTTATGTCATTATTGTATAAAGAAAAGTAAGTACTTGTCTTATCAAATCAGCGATGCGATTCTCAGCTATGACCACCCAAAATTTCTCCATCACTTTTGGTAGCTCTTCCAGAGTTTCTGATACTTCGAACCTGGAAAGATTTTCTAGATTTAGGTAATCATCTTTACAGTATCGGACCTCTTGTTCTTTTGAATATCTATTATTACGCGTTCGCTTCGGGTTGGGTACTCACTCCCTCCCTCCCCGACTCACCGCACCACGCTCCTAGACAGACCCTATTAGTCATCCCTATTGCCTGTGATTGGTCTGTGACACATTTTGTTACAGTCATCGATGGCCAACTCGATGCGAACAGGTAGTTTAAATCAATGCTGGCTATTTCCACTCGCCAATACTGACCATGTACAGAAACGGTAACTTTGTCCATTTAACGGGTCCAAAAAAACTACTTCATACTTACAACTCTTCAGTTAGAAACTCAAAGCTTAAAACTAACATTCGATGTATGTTGTTTTTTTTTATATATAGCCAGGTAGGCAAATGACTCTACCCCACCTGATGTTAAGTGCTGATAAAGTAGAAACGCGAAGATAGCTGGTATAGCTGTTATAAACTGCCACACCAACCATCCTTACCTTGCCGGCCTGCAAAAATGCCTCTTCACGCCTCTCTTAAAGGACCCCAGATTGTAGGAAGGATCACGTGTGCGGGCAAAGAATTCCACTTACGAATAGTAAGATAAAGAAATGAGTCACCAAATTTCATTGTTCGTGTAAGAATAGTGGCCACAATAAGTCGGTGGCAAAGTAGGCCAGCGTGCGTGGTCATTTGAAGAAAGGATGATGGAGGGAAAAGGGAGAATAACTCCTCAGAACACTCGCCGTGGTATAGTCGGTAGGATGCGCTTAATGATGCTACATTGCGGCGTAATTTATTGATATTAACGACTCTACAACTACAATTACTACGATTACATTACGATTCCGATAAGTATACGTTGCACTAGGGAGTTTTATACAAAGTATACTTAACGCCTCTAGTTGATGCAGTGACGATCCCATTCAGAGTTTAATATGTCTGCTACAACCTTTCTAGACGTCTACTGCGCAAGTATGTTTGTCTTTGGGTTTACCCAAGACATATGCCGCTACTTATACCTACCAAGAGCTGGATTTGAGCCGCTTCAGTAGCTCCTGGCATAGTACTTCGCAGCCGCGCTCCGCCACGTCGCCCAGCCGGCTGTCCTCTATCGTCGGGCTATCGGGAGATTGACTTCTGCTAGTCCTGCTTTCTGAGGTCCTGTCGATATCGTATTCTTTATATATTTAGTATTAGTCTTTTTTTGTAGTGGTTTTTTTCTTTATACACAGAAATTTTGCCTGTCTTGCAGTGCCTTTAGACAATTTTGGATTTTGTTGTAGACAAAGAGGATTATTCTGTCAGAATTCCATTTTGCAAGTGTTTTTAATCAGCAAATTTTGACGCGTAAAGGTTCAGGGGTTATAAGTGTTTACTCTCCGGAGCAAAATAAGCGTCGGATGGAAGGCAAATTGTGAAATTTCTGCTATATTTAAATACCTTATGAAATAATTACGTATAATATTCTCGAATACTCACGAGTTATTATTAAACTTAAACTGCGGCCAGAATTTCGAATTGTTATTCATCTTTAGCTCCGTGATTTTATCCTTTATATTTATAGTATCTTGATTTTTACTGTGCAGGTCTTTCTTGAAGGTCATATTTGAATTCTTCAGGTCGCTCGTTAAAACTTTTTTTACAACATGTTTTATATTCCCATCTACGTGGATAGGGGGCAGTTGCAGTATCGGTTCAAATGATCTTTTGGTTTGATCTGTAATTGATACGCAGTGACAAATTATAAATATCATAAGTTGGTGTGCTTTAGTAGTATTGGGCAGGCAGGTACATACATACATCTTGCTTTATTGCTTGAAGGACGGTTAAAGCATAAAGGTGAGAAAATGAGATGGTTACACTTGCATACTTAATGTTAAGGAACTCACACCTCGAAGAAGCCACGTTTTGCACAATTAAGTACTTAATTACGATAGTATTCACAAAGGCTTATTAGCAGTATATTTTAATCATAGAATCCTATAATGAGATATCTATACGATGATGATTTAAGTTATTCAAAATAAAATTTATCTGAAATTAATAATATTGTAAGTTGTGTACCAGTTCTTCCACTTATTAGAGGACTCTCTCCTGCAGCTAAATCTTTATTCCCAATTTCCCATCTATCGTCCATGAACCAATCCTTACGCCCTTCTTCTAGATATATGTTTTTATTTATAGAGTGTTGAGTGTTACCAGAAAACATAAAATCTAAATAAGGACTTGTTGGACATGATTGATTTGTTTTTAAAGGAGGCAGTTTCAAAAGTTCTTTTTCATTTTCTTCCATTTTTGCTGTTTCATCTTCAGGAAGAACCTTGACTTTGATGCCAGAATCAATGACGAAGAGTAAGTACTTGTCATCTTCTTTTGTTTCTACTATGTTATCGCCAAAAGGCGTAATTTCAAATACACTTTCATTTTTCACAGGCTCTTCAGATAATGGTGTCAATGCGTTAAATCGTGAACCTGCTTGATCGCCAGGCCTGTCACTGTTTATATTAAAATTTATTCTTTCAGAAAGCTTATTATACAAGTCTTCAATATCACTATCTACAGATTTTGGAACTTCACTCGTGTCACTGGCGTTATCAGCCTTGTAATTTTTGTTGTCACTGTATTCGTTACACATCAATGAGTCTTCTTCTATATCTGAATCTGATCTTGAAGTATATTCAAATGTACTATTGTTTTCGTAAGAAGTTTCTTCTTTGTTTTCCGCAATGGATTCATTAGTAACGACCGCATCAAATTTATCATCACAGCTTTGTTCACTTTTGCATTCTTCTGACTTTTCATTACTATCTATTGATGATTTAGGTAACTTTGACGACGCATCATCCAATGATTTTTCCTTATAATTGGATACGTTGTTGCAAGCAAAATGAAAAGGATCGTTACATTCAACGTTCAAGTCAGCGTACTGTACAAGAGTTGTTTGTGCACCAGAAACTTGTATTCGATATTCTACCGTTTTATTATCTGCTATTGATAAAAAGGATGTTTGAGTTTCCAATGTTTTACTTTCCAGAGTTTTTTTCAAACCCTGTTTTTCGGCCAACTCTATTATAGTCTTACTCGTTTGTGTAAATATTTCCTGTGTAACGGAGCATGTGTGAAAGGTTGCTGAAGTTGATTTGGTGATTTTATTGTTATTTTCGCATTCAATATTTGTGGTATTACATTTCATTATCATATGCGTATCTGTTTTCTCATTTAAATTAATTATGCTATGATTTTCATGCCCGCTGAGATCTTTTTCGCTATCGTCGCTCTCATCCCATTCTATGACGTATGTTTCTTTGCCAGACGAGTTATTTTTATCTGAACTACTGTCGGTGAAGTCCATTGAGTACATGTTCGATGTGGCTACACTTTTTTGGGAGTCTGTATACTTCACGTCGCCTACCAAGTCTTCGATTTCTATGTCCTGTAGAAAAAGTAATGATTTAAATCTTAGCGTAAATAAAAAATAATTTACATTAGAGCAATCACTGAAAATGCACGCCTTGGTACACCTCCAAGATATCACATATTGCTAATCAAAAGTCTTTCTAGCACATTTAATTTAGATCTTTTAAATTGTCTATTTTTGTGTCTATTAATTTTCTGCAAAAAGCTTTTATTTTTTTTTCATTAACCTTATGAAACAATGTTTTTTTATGAAGTACCCAAGTACCTACCTTAATACATTATCCCATGTACCTACATGGGATAACTTTCTGCTAATTTCGAACACTATGTATTTAATACTTACCATGGTGGCACAATTTTGAACAAAAATAGCAAATCACAACATCCAAACGCGTGCAACCACCGAAACGTGTACTCTTACGTATTTAAAAATATTTCAGTCCAATTCTGACAGGCCATGACAACTTTGAACTAGAAAATATGTCATCTACTAAACTGTTATTTTTGATCATTTCATGTGAACAAATGATTGAAGAGGTTTTTATACTTTCTGTTTGTCTTCGTGATTGCGCAGTACCTACAGCATACGAATCGATCTTCCTAAACCATTTCTTCACAAACACGCATCATCATAAAATACTTTCTTTTTAAAACGGGAATATAGATACACAGCAAATATAGATACATTCCTGCTTGAATTAGAGCGCTCGTCTGGGGAAGCAACCTGCACAGCGGATTTCCCGCTTGAATTAGAGCGCTCGTCTGGGGAAGCAACCTGCACAGCGGATTTCTCGCTTAAATTAGAGCGCTCGTCCGGGGAAGCAATCTGCACAGCGGATTTCCCGCTTGAATTAGAGCGCTCGTCTGGGGAAGTGCCCTGCACAGCGGATTTCCCGCTTGAATTAGAGCGCTCGTCTGGGGAAACAACCTGCACAGCGGATTGAATTAGAGCGCTCGTCTGGGGAAGCGACCTGCACAGCGGATTTTCCGCTTGAAGTAGAGCGCTCGTCTGAGGTAGCAACTTGCACATCGGATTTCCGGCTTGAATTAGAGCGCTCGTCTGGGGAAGATCCCTGCACAGCGGATTTCCCGCTTGAATTAGAGCGCTCGTCTGGGGAAGCAACCTGCACAGCGGATTGAATTAGAGCGCTCGTCTGGGGAAGCGACCTGCACAGCGGATTTTCCGCTTGAAGTAGAGCGCTCGTCTGAGGTAGCAACTTGCACATCGGATTTCCCGCTTGAATTAGAGCGCTCGTCTGGGGAAGCGCCCTGCACAGCGGATTTCCCGCTTGAATTAGAGCGCTCGTCTGGGGATGCAACCTGCGCAGCGGATTTCCCGCTTGAATTAGAGCGCTCGTCTGGGGAAGCGACCTGCACAGCGGATTTTCCGCTTGAATTAGAGCGCTCGTCTGAGGTAGCAACCTGCACATCGGATTTCCCGCTTGAATTAGAGCGCTCGTCTGGGGAAGCAACCTGCACTTTACAGAAGGCAATAGTAAACTAACACTAACTTTTGGTGGTGTTGTGTTTCTGTTGGTGAGTAGGGTTCCAAGGCTCCGCGAGGTAGTGGATTGGATTCAGGCCTGAGGATGATGGCTGGAGCGGCACACCTCCTGCCGCTTTATCTATCTCCGCGACTGGACTCCACTAACACTTAACATTAGGTGGGGAGTGGTAATTTGTTGCGCCTCGTATAAAAATATTAGGCGATTTATTTCTTTAAAGTTTAACTTTAACTCCATACGCAATCATTTTTAAGGCTTAAGCTTAGGGAAAACTTGTTCAACTCCTTTGGTGAGGTTGGATAATGAGGACTGTCTACTGGAAAGATATTAAAACCTTGGACATAATTTTGAGCGCTCGTGGTGTATCTGGAGACCACGAGCGTTGAAAATGCGTCCCGATCAAGAAGTGCTTGAGTGATGTTCAAGCACTTCTTGATCGGTCGGGGGGTACACAGTCATAATGAGGACTGTCTACTGGAAAGGGAGCGGAAAGGCTCCCGTCTGTGGAAGTAAGGTCCATCTTACAGAAGCCCTCAGTTAAACTACCTTAAGGTGCTTGTTATTTAAGTTATAGAGTAACACGGTGGACGTGGCTAGAAGCGGTGTAAGCATACACTGTCGAATGGGGCATACAAAAGATATGTGTGCAGGATTCCTAGTAAACTTATATTTAAAAGGAATCTTCACGCTCATCTGTTGCAAAACTTAAGATAAAGTGTCATTTTATTAATCATCATCTTGTATATACAGGGCGGTCCAACTAGTGACGTCAACATATTTTTTAGATTCCTCGCACCTGGGGATATCCGAAAATACCCCATGTATGTCCCGCGATTTTCCTTAGTTTTCGAGTTCTAAATTTTTTTGTTTATTTTTAATGATTTCAGCCAGCGAGGTTTCAAAACTTCTTATCTTTTTTCGTAGTAGGTATTTTGCAGACTTTTTTTTTGTGACATAATTGTCTTGAATGTTGTTTTAATAAAAAAATAACTCAGCTTCCTGCAATTACTTAAAGTTACTCATTAATGAACTACTTGTAACTTTAGTTTTTAGTAGGATTTACTCAAACATTCAACTTCAATTTAGAAGTACAAAAAGGAGTTTCCATAGGTTCTCGCTAAAATTAAAAACTCCGCATGCTTCTAAACTACCAAAATTCATAAAAAAAAATGTACTTAATCAGCCTATTTTTGTTGTAATTGGCTTTTGAAGGCGGATAGGCTAAAAATCATTGTAACATGATTAAACCATTAAAATATATTTTATCTACTTTTTATCATTACTATGGTAAATTTAACTCAAAAATGTAAATTCAAAATAAATTTAATTGAAATTTCTGTGAATTTTACAATAATTTCGGTTTCACCACTAAGATTTAAAATGCGAACAATAATTGAGACAAAAACTTACAGAAGCGGAAAAAAAAATAAAGCAAGAATATTCAAGTAGCTTCATACAATTAAAAAATAACTTTTTAAGACATTGTCAATTATGTATTCAAGTTGGAGGAAGGAGTTTTGAAAATTTACTGTAATAAATAGTAATTTTTCAGTAATTTGTTGTTTTTATTTGTATCAAAAAACAGGTAATTTCCCAACAAGTCATTTTGATCTTTATTCTTACTCACTGCGAGGCGCGACCGGCTGTAAGAGCTTTAAGGCCTGCAGAAGCCATAGAAAAGGGAGCAAATCGTAAATAGCTCGCGGCGTCAGAGTGCAAAATACGCCCCTGGCGGGATATGGCGGTGTATTGTGTCATTGTTTATGTGTGAGTGTCGTAAATACAGTTTTGTTTTGTATGCATGTGGACGTTAAAGTGCGTTTGAGTTTTGTGCATATTTCCCCCGCAAAAATGCCAGCATTATTTAATAGTGGATATCATGTCCCTGTGGCTACTCCCTTCCGTGTTGCTTTATGATTCCCGTGCTCCGCGGGGTAAGGAATAGGTTTAGTGTGGCAATGTGTTGATGACAGGAGCGGCATATTGTAAATGACGTGTTAGTTTTCAAACTTAGTTAAATTTTACTGTGACAACATCAGGTGATGTCAAGGGCATCCAAAATTGACATAGATTTTCTGCAATACGACGTTCGACTTTAGCTTTCTCATTCACAGACTATTGGAATAGGTACTTACTTACTAAAGACCCCATTTTTTGCAAAAAATCGTAATTTTTGAGCGCCTCGTTTACTCCCTTAGAAAAGAGTTTGACTATTTCCAATAGAAGTAAACAGTAGATTTATTCTTCCTTTTGTAAGTTAATGTACAATATTTGCAAATACTATTTTCCTTTCTTTGTACTGATCGTTCTACCGCAGCTTGTTTACGGAAAAAACGATAATATGCACAACTTCAAACGCCTGAATCTCTAAATAATGTTCAATAAATTACATCAAAATAATTACTACGACATCAGATTTTCAGATTTTTGTTGTAACATAATGTATTAGAATTTAGATTTTCCATCTTATTAATTATCAAAAAAAAACATCTAACCTCCGTGAGTTTTCCCAAAAAACAATGCAGGTTTAGCCGTATTTTGATATTGAATTAAATAGAATTACTATCAAAAACTTTCATAAAACTAATCTACCAATATTGAACTACTAAAATATGTATATTATTTTTATAATTAGTTCATTAATAATTATTTTATAAGACTCGAAACATCACTCGTAAAATGCAATATTACTAGTGCAAATGTACTTACGCGTCGATAAGTACGGCAGCGGCGTAATTTTGTAAAAGCCCTATTACAAAAAACCTAGCCATTCGTTAAGGGTTTGGCAGAGTCAAAGCCTATTTAGGTTTTCTTCGCGACTGGACTTCACTAACACTTAACATTAGGTGGATGGGTGCCTTTTTTTTTTTTATTATTAGGCAGGTAAAAAATGCTATTTACAGACGACGGCGCCTTTAAGAGGCACACCGCCGAACGGACCTCACACCTGGCTTCCGCAAGTCTTACGGGCGCCCCAGTGGCTGTCCACCGAGGACCCCGCAACTCTTACGGGTGCTTTACGGCATAATACCGCTAAAAAGGTCCTGCGAATACCCTCTAAGCTGCTTAGCGCGAAGCCGCGGGATCCCCGTTTAGGGATTCCTCCGCGTCTCCGCACCTAGCAGCCTCCCGGCCTAGCCGGGGCTCCACGGCAGGGGTCTCCCGGGGTATCACGGGGACCCCGCAGACGTGCGCAGGTAGGCCCGCGCGTGGAGGTTGAGTACGCGGCCTCATGCCCACCGTACCGCCCCCCGTCCGCTGCGGAGGGCTACTTGGGCGTGCCCATCTTTGCAGGACAGAACTACAAGGGGCGGCTGAGGTGGATGGGTGCCTGGTATCATAAATGTTGTTACAGATACTCAACGAGTCTGCAGTCGACATACTGCACAACATCAACAAAACCGTAAAGGCTCAGTATATACCTTGTCTCCCTGAACCCAGACATTGGCAGAATCGTCACGTAATGAGACGCAGCCATAATCACCAAAAATTTAATTGACCATTAGATGGGGTAGGGCCAGGGCCGGATTTAAGATAGTGCAGGCGGGGCTGTGGCCCAGACGCCCCTACAAGTGGCCCGGCCTAGATTTAGGGACCTAAAGGACCTTCTTCGTTGGCCGAGGGCCCACACATCGAAATCAGACCTTGGAATATTATCATCATTATCAGCCTATAAGTATTCTCCACTGCTGGTGCACACTTGCTCGCCTGTGTATGGAATACTTACACAAACAACTGCAGATGCAACAGATGCAACCGGGACCAACCAACGATATTAAAAAGTGTCCTAGGTGTTATTGGAGCTCACGAGCGCTCAAAATATGTCCCGATTAAGTAGTGCTTGAGCACCACTAAAGCACTTCTTGAGCACCACTCAAACACTTCTTGAGCACCACTCAAGCACTTCTTGAGCACCACTCAAGCACTTCTTGAGCACCACTCAAGCACTTCTTGGTTTAACGTCACGCGCGGAGCGTTGAAAAGTCAAGACGCCGCAAAGCTCCGTAAAAGAAATACTTATAGTAGGACATAGTGTCGTTTTTTCGACAGGTATCTAATCAATGTTTGTTAATTTAATGTATTTGAATCACATTTTGTTCTAATAATTACAATAAACTGATTTAATAGAAAATATTTGTGTTATTCAAATGCATGGTCGGTTATATAGTCGTCTCTTTTCCTCGCGCTCCGTTACTACTTTGTTGCTAACAGCGCATTCAGAATTTCGCGAATACTCAAAGATATAAAGTCTATATTCTTGCGCCTGTAGCAACAAGTCGTAAAATTTTGCCACCTTGCATTTCGAAGTATCATAACTCTTTGTGGCATACATTTAATTTAAGACCTTATACACTATGCAATACGGCTGACTTTGAATTTTT